TAGCTTGTAGCAGCAGGTTTCTGACTCAAATTTCATATACAGTTGGTCAAAACCCTCGTATAGTAGCAGCGGCTGATTTAAACAATGACAACAAGCCAGATATTGTTACGGCAAACGGCTTTACAAATAGTTTTAGTGTTCTTCTCAATGCAGGCGATGGCACCTTTCTTGCCCAAGCTACTTATACAACTGGTACTTATCAATACTCGATTGCAATAGGTGATTTTAATAGCGACACTAAACCAGATATTGTTACGGCAAATGATGCTTTGGGCAACGTTGGTGTTTTTCTCAATGCAGGTAGTGGCACATTTTCTGCTCAAACTACTTATACAGCTGGTACCAATCCCCGCGGAGTAGCAGTTGGAGATGTGAGTAATGACGGCAAAATGGATATAATTGTTGCAAACTATGGTTCAAACAACGTTGGTGTTCTTCTCAATTCAGGCAGCGGCACATTTCTTACTCAAGTTACTTATGCAACTGATACTGGTAGTTGGGGAGTAACAGTAGCTGACTTGAATAGTGATGGCAAACTGGATATCATTTCAGCAAACTCCGAAACGACCACTATTAGTGTTTTAATCAATGCGGGTAGTGGCACATTTCTTACTCGAGTTAGTTATACCGTTGGTAGCCGTCCATTCTCAGTAGCAGCAGCTGATATAAATAGTGACAGCAAGGTGGATATTGTTGTCGCAAACACATATTCGAACACCGTTGGTGTTCTTCTCAATTCAGGCACTGGCACATTTTCTGCTCAAACAACTTATCCAACTAATTCGTATCCATACTCAGTTGCAATAGCTGATATGAATAATGACACTAAACCAGATATTATTGAGTGTACTGCTGTTTCGAACGATGTTGGCGTTCTTCTTAATGCAGGCAGTGGCACATTTCTTGCTCAAACTACTTATCCAGTTGTTAATGATGCAACTTCAGTAGTAATAGCTGATTTCAATAGTGACAATAAACCGGATATGGTTGCCACAAACTTCAATATGAACACGGTCAGTGTCTTCATTCAATGCTGAAATCTATGGATTTATGAACTAAACTGAACTTACTTCTTGACATTACAATCCTATACTAAGGATATTATTTTTATAAAACATTACTCGACACGGACGATCAATTATACTTAATTTTACGACTTTCAATAAAATGTTTTTAAATCTTGAGTGTGCGAGGATCAATTTATAAGCGAATTGTGAGTGAGAGGTGAGATGAAAGTGAGTGTGGATATCGATCTGGATGAAATAGAATACCCAAATGCTGTACCCACCCTCAAGATGATTTATATTCTATAACCTAAGATCAGAAAATGATAATTATATGTGTAGACTGTCTAACTATAACGAGTGAATGTGTAAATAAGTACCCAAATAAATCGTTGATTTAAATATTACATTGCTTGAACAAACAATATTATATAAAAATAAGAAGAATAACGATATTGAAATTTACTTTCATTTACCATATTTCAGACTTTAATCTCACGGTAGATGTTATCAGAACAGTTGTTCATTTAAGAACAGATGAATGTAGATGATAGTGATAGTATTAAACTTATCTGACACTTGCGCTTTTAAGACAAAATCGTGCGATTTAATGACGAGAAGCAGAATTCTTATCTACATACATAAGGTTTGATTGCTTTTGTCATGATTCTAAATGATAGTTACTAGTTGATTTTTCTGTTAATACTTCATACAAGAAATAACAGAACCTGTAGACCATACATTAAAGTGTATCACGCTTTGTTAGCTCTTCTTTTAACTAAGAACAAATGACTCAATTTTTTCACTTCAATATAAAGAAAGTGTTTTCTACAAGAATCAAGTAGGTGTTTTATCAAATAAGATAATTTAAGCGTCTAGTACCGTAAACAGATCAAGGACCTCTTTTCTTTAACTAGCTTCAATTACAGTATTGATTAAAAATAACTTCTTAGAATGCTTTCTGAGTGTACAAATAGTTACGAAGTGTGTATTCTACTTTCGTTAATAGAAAAATTGAAGAAAATATTCTTTAGAGATCGATTAGAGAATCGCACATCATAATCAATCCAGTATTATTCTAACAAGATTTCTAGGATATTAGCAACGATAATAATAGAGAGATTGAAATCAGATAATATGCCCATGAAAAAAAATACATGACAGAATCACAAATAACATTTTGAAGTTATACTATTACATCTCCTTCAGTTCAGAGCATAGCGTAAACAAGAACCAATATATTATGATCATTTTATAGTAAAAAGAAGTAGAACAAGATCCACACTTTAGTAAACATGGTTTCAAAACAATCAAACAACTTTAATGCCATTTTTAAGTCACCCATATAATAAAGTCCTAGTAAGACGATACACACATTCTTCTAGTTTGACACTATAGTATTTTCATCACTAACATTTACGAGTTTGCCAATCCTTTATTCTTCTGGATAAGTTCATTCACACGACCTAGAACTTTCTTCTCGATTTGATTGTTGGACAGATCAAGTGTGGTGAGTGTCTGTGTGAAAAAGTGCAAATGTTTCTTTGAGATAGTTGAAGATAGGATGAGATTTACTGTGTTATTTCTTAACGAGTCAGCAAGATGTTGTGCTGCTTCGTCTCCGATTTGGTTGCCGCAGAGAACAAGCGTGGTGAGTGTCTGCGTGAAAAAATGTAAACGTTTTCATGAGATAGTTGAAGAGAGAATGAGATTTACTTTGTCGTTTTCTAGTAAATCAGCAAAATGTTGTGCTCCTTTGTCTCCGATCTGATTGCCACCGATATGAAGTGTGGTGAGTGTCTATGTGAAAAAGTGTAAATGTTTGTATGAGGTAGTTGAAGAGAAAATGAGATTTACTGTATTGTCTCTTAATGAACCAGCAAGGTGTTGTGCTCCCTGCTCTCTGATATTCTTGCCGGCAAGATAAAGTGTGGTGAGTATCTGTGTGAAAAAGTGTAAACATTTGTATGAGATGGCTGAAGAGAGTGAGTTTTACTGTGTTGCTTCTTAATAAATCAGCAACATATTGTGCTCCTTTGTGTTCGATTTGTTCGTTGTAGATATCAAGTGTAGTGAGTGCCTGTGTGAAAAAATGTACATGTTTGTATGAGATAGTGGAAAAGAGAATGAGATTTACTGTGTTCTGTCTTAATGAATTAGCAAGATGTTGTGCTCCCTTCTCTCCGATTTGGTTGTAATCGAGACGAAGTGTGGTGAGTGTCTGTGCGAAGAAGACGTAAGCGATTTTGAAGGTATGGGTGTCGGTGTCGGTGTGCGTATGAGTGTGATTGTAGGTTTGGGTGTATTTGTTAGTATGATTAATCTTTTCATCGAGATCTAAACCCACACCCTTCTCTGATGATTCCATGTCTGAGAGGAAGTACATTGCGTTCGTATCGGAATAATTATAAGGGAAAAATAGAGGGAAGCAATGATTGTTGTTTAAAAGATTACTTAGTAGTATGACTCACTAGCTTTCCCTAAATGCTTTTAACTTGATAAATTATGTTATCTCCTAATAAACTCGTTGAATGATATCTGAGTAGGGTTATAGGTCGCACAAATGATAGCTACGTATTGAAAGTTCATGGAAGACTTACTTGGTATCGGGGATAAGTGTCAAGGATTTGATTAAATCGTTGGCAGATATTTTGCATAGAACAGAACAAAGTAAAATCGGTCTCATGGTCCAGAATTCGATAAACGAGCTCTACTGGTAACGAGAGAAATGTGCACATACTTCTGTTAGACTTTGACGACGACTGTTAAAATACGTTATATGATGTTGCTTTTATAGCACTTGTTATCGAAAGTAATTTTGTGTGCTTTGATAACAGTGTTTTGAAAATGATGCAATTATCTTGCCGTTAAAAAATTGACTAATAGTATTTTCAGTAACGAATGGTTAGTTTTATGCAGAAAGATAGCGTTAATGTATATTTTTGGTAGGTTCAGTGAGAAGATAATATATAATTTGGATGAGTATTTTTTTATGATTAAGAGTGTCTGAAGAAGAACAGATAGTTAGCTCTCCTAACAATACTTTTTTGAATTTGACTAAAGAATGTTGAGAGTGTAGGTAGATGTGTGTTGTTCATATCACAACCACATCCTATAGATCAAGGTGTGATAGTGTGAGTGAATGTGGGTGTGCATATTTCAATCAGCCATAGATCTATATCCGCACTCACACTCCCACCCATCTTCATACTCATTTATCCACGCTCACACTCAGCTCAACCTATCAAAATAGGTGAGTGAGACCGTCAATAGTTTCAAAGCAATAATAATGTTCTGATCCATTTATATTCACTCATATTTTATCTCATAATACATTTTCTTTTTCATCTTACTCTTATTTTTATGATTTTGTTATTCACTGTCTTGATTTTTTCCTTTTTATATGAGTTTCTTTTGAGTCGTTATCTTATCATTTATGAATAGTAACACAGCACATATTTTGTCTTTTTCTTGACGGTACGTTAAATTGCTACTAACCGTTAAAGTGTTATATTTCAAAATTGAATATATTTCTATGAGAATAATTTTCAATGGTTAGAGCAATAGGTATTGATTTCGGTACAGCATATTCATGTTTTGCTGTATTTCAGCATGGTAAAGTTGAAATTATTCGTAATGAACAAGGTAATAGAAAAATAGGGTGTGGGTGTCGGTGTGACATGAATATAATATCTACACCCACACCCTCAAGATAATAATTTCCTTTATTCTGTATATTTATATTGAAATATTAAAAAGAAGAAGGAGCTATATATCGAAAGAAGAGATCATAAGATTAGCATTGAAGTCATTGTCTTACAATTTGCATAAAGATTACATTTAGATATGTCAAAAAGAAACTTAAATAGAATGATCTTGATATACAAAGACGTACTCTTAATTTAAACTACAGCATGTTAAAGTCATACTTCGAATGAAAAACATAGGTTCATATAAAAAAGAATGTTTTTTTCCACTTTGTAAACATATTAACTTCTATAGTTGTAAATGTATAATCCATTTTTTTGTGTTTTCATCTTTCTGAACATCTACTATTTGAAATAAAACACCAGCTGGTAGAAGAACTTCTTCCTCATCTGGAAACTGTGATATATGTTGAATATTAAAAGCACGATTCGAGGATATTCCTATTTCTTTAACATTAATTACGAATAATGTATTCACTCCAAAGATTTCAACGACTTGTTGATTTTTACTTGTTGACGTAAAACTGCGCCAAGTTTTCCATTCTTTCATAGAAACAGCATTGCGATATTGGCTGACTTGTTCCTCAGAGAGATTACAACCACGATATAGATATCCATTATATTCTGTACCAGCCGAACGTATATAAGCTCGAAGTAAATAACAATAAGGACCCAGTGTATCAATTTTACTTAGATCACTATTACGTAGTGCAGTGTTTACGACACGATATAGAAAACTAGCTCTTGTAAATAGATGAACACATATTTTCGATATGTCTTTTATTAGCAGTTTTTTACAAGGTTCCAATTTTCTCACTAAATAACTTGCTTCAATTTCTTTTCCAATGAGACGTCCTTCAGTCATTATGCCTTCAATCGCTTTTCTTACACATTTTTTCGCATTAAATAAACAATGTTTACCAACTTTTGACTGTATCCATTGCATAATCAATGGACTCCATTCATATTCGTGCCCGAATGTGTATGATGTAGGCGAGACTTGCGACAATGGTTCTGAAAATCGTTCTTGAAGAATATATTTGCGTTCATTCTTACTTTCAATAACACGTTTAATTGTTTGTTGTTTAGTACTATCTAATTTGCTCACTTGTACCAATTGGTTGAAGTCAATTAAGTAAGTATCTAATTCTATAAATGATTCTCTATCTGACTTTCGCTGATATGCTTCTTCGATTATTTCATTTTCAATATCAGAATATGGCAACCAGTGGTCGTTTTCATCATTGTCTAAAGAAACATCCATCTTGTCTTTGTAATACCATAATACAATAGCCTCCGACATCTAAACCAGATATCTCAAAATCTTGTCAATTTTGTATTAAGTTAAAGTTTTTATTGGGATAAACTTACTTGTCTTTTATTTAATATTTCTTCATAATGAAAATCTGGTGATAATACGCAAACATCATTACTTTCATCCTCATCTTCTACAAAATCTGAGTCATATGAATATGTTATAATTGATGCACTACTATAAGGAGTCCATTGTTCTGCATCATGATAATAGACTACGTCATTGTCGTCTACGGCAAAAAGTTTAGGACCAGTATATAAGGTTTGATAATATCTAGCATTCGCACTCGGAAGTCCATCACTCTGACGATCAAATTCTAATTTGAGAAAGTTCCAACTCCGTTCAACTCCAGTAACATATACTGGTATCTGAGCTTGTGAGATGAATGTAAAACTGCAAATATTGCTTTTCTTCTTATTGTTGTGGTGGTTGCTATTCATCGACAAAAATAAAGTAAATCTTTTCAAAACCTTATTTCAAAACGGAACGAACAGAAGAAAAATAACAAATATGATCATCAAGAATATTATGCCAAATTTGCATTATAGAAAGCAACTGCACATTATAAGTATTTGAACGAAGATGATTTATTCACATTGTTAATTTGAAATATCAGTTTATAATAAAAATTTGTCGTTTGTTATATATGGTTAATAAATATTTTTCATAATCGATGGTGAATTTTGCGATAGACGAATGTAAAAATTACCGCTTTATAATAAATATAATATGCGCAGAAGAAGAAAAAAAATTGTATTTGCACCACTTTTACACAGTAGCGGTCGTATTTTTAATGCATCACTACGTCTTGTTTTGATCACAAATCAGAGTAAATCTGAGTGGGTATAAATGAGTAATGAAGAAAATACTCACTCTCGCTTAGTAGTTATAATATTCATACATAAAAAAGGAGAAATACAAGCATCATGCCATATAGATAGGTATGGATGTGGGTTAAGAGAAGATAGATATACACACCCGCACCCACATCCTCAACTAAATGTACATATGTTCCAATCTGAATCGATCCAAGATATATTTGATTAAGTCTAAATTGTTCTTTCAATTTGATGTTTATTTCATTCTTTTCTAGTGTTCTAAACACTCGTCGTTTTACCTACATAATAGATTAATAGAAAGAAAAGAACAGCAATACCATGTGCTTTTGTTGATTTTTTTTATAAAAATGATAACAAAAAAACGCTGATTTTAAATGGCGAATAATTATTCTTTAATCTTGCCTAGAAGGCTATTCTTCTTGCCGATTTGTCGTTCTTTACAAAAACACTGTATTAGTCTCTACGTATGTTACTTTTCTTTTTTTCTGCTCGTACAATCCATTAGAAAAATAATGAGGAGCTCGATTTATTTGCATTTATTGAAGCGTAATTATGTTTCGTGCATCAAACACATAGTCTACTTCCCTTATTTAATGTATGTATAATTCAACCATTAAACATGTACACACTCAAATATTTACTATTTTTCTTAGAAAAAACTGTCAAATGAATACAGTAGTCTACTTATATATCAACGTCCTGTCAATTTCAAGGATGTGGGTAGGTGTAATCTTCTGATTCATCACCCACACCCACCATATTATTTAAAAATAAAATATTTCAATCATTATGATCAATTTATTATTTTCATTCTATTATGAAATTATAGATTAAAAATGATGAGAAAGATTCAATTTTGGTACACTACCCCCTTATCTCTATCAACAAGAAAAAAAGTGACGTCAATCTGCATAAAAAGATAAAGATGTTTCATTCTCTCATTTCATTGATTACGATAACACTTTCTTCTTTCTACCATTACGTTGAATATTTCTATTTGGATTGTATCAACTTTTTAAATGAATAAAAACTCAACTAAACGCCAACTGGAATTATCTAGTATTCAGAAAAAAAAATTTCGACGTAAGTAACATTCGTATTTGTGTATTCGTATATATATCCTATATTTGCTAATTTTATCAGCAAGAACAACGTCTGACGACAAGTAAGTCTAATCGAAAGATATCTAAATTTTATTTAGTTATTTTCATAGCTTAATTACCCAACTGGAGAATTTGTCAAATGAAATCTGCTATGAAGTATTTGATTATCTTGATGGGCATGCAATATATAAAGCATTTGATGAATTGAATGCTCGTTTTCAAAAGCTGATTACAACGTCATCATTTTTATTGAAAATCTGCATTGATAATGAATCACACTTGAAAATAGAAGATTGTTGTAAAAATCTTCTCATTCCGAATAATCGAATTCTTTCATTTCATCTTCATGATCCTGTACAAGCGGAAAGTTTTTTCCAAAATTGTACTTTTGATTCAACATTTATTCACCTGAAATTAATTCTTCTTCATGTAATTGAAGACTATTTTCAAGCACAACAATTGAAATGTTTAAAAAGTTTACCGCATCTTCTTTCACTTACTATTGTACTCTACGGTGATCAATGTTACAATGAAGATGACATGTTTATTGATGATATATATGAAATTATTTTCACTTTACCTTATTTAGAATATAGTTCTTTATCAGTGATAAAATACAATGATCAATATCTTCCAACATTTGTTGATAAGACTATACAATCGAATTCAATCACATCTTTACATATGGATTATGATTGTGATCTCGATAGTCTTCTTTCGGTTCTTAGCCATACACCACAATTACATCGTTTATATTGTACTAGATTGTTTCAACCGAAAGAGGATGACGACAATGACTTCTCAATAAGATGTTCTAATTTAAAGTATCTTCGAATAGAAGAATGTTCTGTTAAATTTGATAGATTTCAAAAATTCGTCAAGGATATTGGTTCTTAAATAAAAATATTCTGGATTCACGGTTATTTGCCTGATGATGATGATATTGAACCTGATCAATGGCGGATACTAATTGAAAAAGATCTACCACAATTAGAAAAAATTCTGTTAAGATCTTCAGTAACTACTGATGTGAGCAAAATCAATTCTGTTATTGATCAATTAAATTCATCATTTTGGATTGATCATCAATGGAATATTAGATTAGAAATTGAACCTGATGAAAGTTCCTATTTTATTTCTTCATATATGTATTAGCGAAAAAGAAAAACATTTTCTTAACAAATCATTTCTTCATTTTCTTTCGTAGATCAACACGGTTTGACTTTGATCAAAAAATCCAAACGATGAGCAATTCGACATCTAACGAATTACTGATCAGTAATGTTGACGATCTGCCTTGGCCGCAACCAATGATCGAACAATTGATTCCAATTTTGAGTCAAATGAAATTTACAAGCATATATTCCTGTAATAGTCAATTATCTCTAGATAATTTTATTCAACTAATTAATTTATTACCATGTCTTGATTCATTGAAGATGGATGTAGTATCAGAAGAGCGATGCAATAGTTTATCAATTGAAGATGAGGAGAAATTTTTATCCGTATCAATGTCGAATGCAATTACAAAAGTTGCTCAAAAAATGAATATGAAATTAACAGAGTTTCTTATTAAGCTTTGTCCACATATGACGTATTTTCAAGTAGATTCCATCAAAGATGATGATGATGATATAGAAGAGCTGGTACAATTTATTTTACTGAAAAGAAAAACCGACATTCCTCATCTTCAATCGTTATGTCTTAACCTACGTAATGTAAATGATGAATTAATCACCATGTTACGAAATATAATGGATTCCGAGAAAATCACCGCATCTGATTATTTGATTAAATCATCCGGAACTTTTATCATTTTACAATGAAAATTACAATAACTAGTTTTTGATTTGATTTTATTTAAATTTAATACTAAGTAGACACAGAAAAAAAGATAGATCTTATAGAACATCAACTGATGTGGGATGTTCATGCGATTCAAAGAATTCATGAATATCAGATACTAGTTGCATGTTTTCTTCGATTTGCTCCTTTAATTCGAGTACTTTGCCTTTAAGTGTAATTTTTTCCGCGATGGTTCGAACTTGATCATCGATCGACTTATTAACATAGTTTTGATAACGTGCTAAATAATCATTGAGCTCTTGAAAGTGTCGAGTGAAACTTTTGTTTAATACATCGGTTAAATACTGATCCAATTCTGTTTCGATCTCTTTCATATGAGTCTGAAATTGACATATAAAGTGGTTTTTCATCTCACTGATTATGATTTGATATTTTGTTCCTTCTACGTATCCATCATCATACAGAATCGTAACCAAACCAAACAGCCACCAAGGAGTGAAAATCTTTTGTAATTTTAACTCAAAATCTCTCGGGATAGAGTAGATGATATCAAAATTAGGCGGCTTTCGAAACTGGATATTGAAAGCGTCTGCTAATTGGTTCTGAGCAGCAATTAATAGCTCTTTTGTTTTTTCTTCAAGTTGATGATTTAGTCGAAGACAGGCTTCATCACATTGGAGATCCACATCATTTCGAATGCTAAGTAGAGCTACGTCAGTTATTGCACGAATTTGTCGCGCGACACTCCGTATGAAATTGAGACCGTCGTACTCATTTTTAAAGATCAAAAGTCCATGCCGATTAGCTAGATGATCGATCGTCGTCCCTACTCGCCGCATGAATTTGTGAATGGGTGAGGGGATGATAACCGTGGAGGCTGTACCAATGATATCCTTAGATGAATTTGTGTTGCCCGAATGAGCTCGATAGAGTTGATCAGGTCGATAGTATTCTTTAAATACTTCTTCCAATTGCTTCAGAGTATTTTCCTCCATTTGCTTGAATTGAGTTTGAAAATAATCAGTTATTCTTGTCTGTTCATCTACTAAAGTTGCATTTTGCTCTTCCATAATATTTTGAGCACATTGCATTTCAACATAGAGTACATCACTTTGCAGACGCAATGCTTTCTCATCAGCCCAAAGAAGTCTCTCTCTAATAGTTAAAACTTCATGCAAACGATCTAGATTAGATTGACAGTGGTTCAAGGCCGATTCAATAACACGTGGTGCGGCTCTTTCGATAAGTTTCTCAACAGCACCATTAAGAAATGATTCAAAACCGGATTTTTGCCATAATTTTAGTGCATCTGCTTTGGCTTTATGAGTGGTCGGTGGATTTTCATTATCATATATAGGTCCGTACGCTTCCTGTAGAAAATCCGAACCTGACTCTAGATTTTCGATGGCAAATTGTTGATTTGGATCCATGCGACTGACTTCAGTCAAAAATTGTTTTGCCAGTAAAGCTCGATATGCCTGGACTTCAAACACTCGACTAGCCGTTTGATGATCAGAAGCAGCTTGACCAATATCGAATTTATTCCGTACAAGATCATGAACTTCTGCTTTACTCATATCTCCGCGTCGTTGTCGTCGTTGATCGACTTTGTTTACTAGTGCAAAAAGTGAATCATCACTAGCAGAAGTTGTCTGGCGAATATTCATAATTTCAGTTTTAATAATTTTGTCTGCTTCAGTATTAAATGCCGTGTAATCAAGGACGACAAGTATCACAGTAGATCTTTTCAATTCTCGTATTATGATTTCTTTCAGAAAATTAGTACTCATATCTTCATTCGGTCCAGGTGTGTCAACGATAACCAAATGTCCAAATGATTCGTGCGCCATACTTTCGTTACCTAAACATGTATATCGCGCAATGATTCGCGGTAACTTCTTGAATGAACGATGATGTGTATTGGAGCGTTCTGCTGGCATTAAAATTTCATGAAGACGAATAACATCATTTATATACTGAAGTGTGTCCCAGATATATGAAGTGCCAGTTATCCTCTCTTCGAATGTACGACCATTATTAGCTGCATCTCGGATTTTTTCTGCAATAGAAACTAAATGGGTATGTTCAGGAAGTTTTCTCTGTAAGCCTTCCAACGTTCGACTAGTTGAGAGATGAAAACGAACGCTTTGCTGCATTGACATAATTTCTTCAATCAATTCCTTATCCATAACGAGAGTTGGTTCATCGACGATGTCACCTGGTTTAGCAACTTCAAGAACTACTTCGGTTGGAATGACAGTCATGGCGGCGTTACGTGAAGGAAGAACATTTTGACCCAAAATAGCATTGATGATCGTTGATTTTCCTGCTTTCATTGGTGCTACTATACACATACGTAATTCGAGATGCTTGACATTTGAATAAATGGAGTCAAACTCATGTATTAGTCTTTGTGTATTATTTGTAGTTTCTGTTTGGTCGTCATAGTCCAATATATTACTCTCATTTTTGAGGAGATTGATAATACGGTTCAAAACTTCTAAAAACTGCTGCCTTATTTTAACCAGGCTTTTAATTGTAATGTGTGACACGTCTATTGATTGCATTTCAGATGTAATAGTTCTAGCATACGATTCATTAATGTTTGAAGCCATGATCTATGATAAATGTTCAAAATACTTCTTTCTAGACTGTTTTACTATGAACATTGTAAAAAGCTTCCATATAATTAGAAAGCTTTCAAAATGCTAGACGTATCCTATAATTTAATAGTTAGTTGACGGGTTAATGAGGATACGATGATAGATAGTATAGTCTCTGTGTGACTCACAGGTGAAGTACAAGGCGATTTTAGCGGCATCTGTCGAATTTTTCTTCACATTTATACACTCTGTGACAAGCCAAAAGAATCGGACATAGACTTCAAGAGGTCTAAATACTTTTCACAAGCTTTCAACTAAAGAACGAAAGTGTGAAAGCACAATCATCAGAAATTCATTCATTTTCAGACACTCATATATATATATATCACTGTTGCGATACTAAGTAGTTCAGTACTAAATAGAGAGATATCATTAAAATTTGTCTCATTCTGCAAAATAATGGTAGATAGGATATTTCTATAAGGTTGGAACGTATATACAAGAGAAAGAAACAATTTTACTTACCATTCAAATACAAGACACAAAATAAATGAAGATAGTTTACATAGCTTTCAATCCTTTTAAGGTAGTAATCGGGTTTTTTCCAATCGCAACATGCTTTTATATAGAAAAAAAATATTTACATTTCCTCTCACGTGGACAGAATATGCAATAGTGATACGTCACAAAATTGATTTTATTCTATTCTTGCATAATATTCATTCGTTCGTGCTTCGATTTATTTTTCACCTTTTTTCCAACTTTTTCTCCCCATACAAACACATCGATGATCAGAACCAATAGTCTTGATTGCCATATACGGAAGAGAATCAAGAGAAAAAAAAGAAAATTAAAAAAAAGAACGTCTAATGTGCATTTATTCACTTTTTTTCTACTATCATTGATCGTCAAGAATACAGCTGGATTTTCACTTCATTATCGTTTATAGTTATTGATTGAAAATAATAAACTGTACACTTTAGTACGGCTACTATAATGAAAGCTTCACTCATATGATACAGAGAAAATAGTGCAGTTGAATTCAAAACCTATGTCAAAATATAAAAGTAACTTCAAATAATTTTAGCTTGGATAAGGTATGTAGAAATAGTTTCATGTATAGTAAAATACAGAAATGCATGTTAAAGTGCTTCAAAACGTTGTATGAAAGTAACTAACATGCTATGCAAAAGTCTTCTGAAAAATCCCAAACTCTGTTAAATCATACTGTCGACTTCTATGTCACTTTACTTTTTTTTTGTTAGAAGTAGATGTGAATGAGTATGTGAATGTTCATTATCCATCTACACCCACACTCTCTCTATGACTCATAACACATATTTCATCATTTTATCTAATATTTACGTGAAGATTTTTTTTCTTTCTGTTCCTTTATGAGTAATTGAAATAATGACGTGTTATTGCACAAACAATTTGCAAGATGTTTTTAATATAAAACGAAGCTTGTTACGCGAGAGCTATTCATTATTTTTTTTACGTTTTATCGTGCTGCTGCTGCTTCAATGAGTAAAAGAAAACGATATGAAACTGTTACGATAAATATTGATGAAGCAAAAAATTTTAAACGGATTTCAAATCATTCAGTAACAGCTATGTATACAGAAAGCAAGGGTGAAGTGCAGAAGAATTTGAATGAGAATGTGACATCAGATTGCATTACAAGTATATCTTTATTAAAGGATGAAGACTCAGTAGAAGCTGCAGTTTCAACTAAGGAAAAGATGATATGGGATGATAAATGGTAATTACGAAATTATTTGGAAATTATCATCTTTTCTTTGATTGATATGTAGGTTTGAATTTAAAGAGATGCCAGCCCTAGTCGAACATCTTGTAAGCAAGATCTTGGCCAAGATCTTAGGAACAGATAAGTGAACAGATCTTGAAAAAATAGGTACAGATAGTTTGATTATCTTGTACACAAGATCTGTGACTAGATCTTAGGTACAGATTGTTAAGATCTTATGTACAGGTTGTTCATATCTTATATATAGCTTGTTAAGATCTTGGTAACAGATATTCGAAATCTTGAGCATAAGATCTTGTAATGAATGATATTTTCGTTTTACCTCGGCAAGATCTTCAGATCTTGTACTAATATATTTAAATTTAAGATCTACATGAACATACATAACACACGTGAACATCAAATACAATTACAACCTTTAGAAAAAAAAACATAATAAAATATAAACACCGTAACAAGTATTTTTATATTCACAATCATCTGTATGAACACCAAGCATTCAGAAGTACACGAAATACAAGATAAAAAATAATAAAAATAAATTTGAATTAGCTTCATCATATAATTCAGCATCAGACGATGATGTCAACGATGATGATGATGATGATGATGATGATGATGATGAAATGGCTGGATCATTAGTAACAACGGCATCGCTATCTGAAATATCACCAGCTACTGGATCCATTGAATTAGACATGTCCATGAAATCATCATCTTCGTCTTTGTGTTCATTATTTCTAAGCATCCTCAATACTTCGCTTTTCTTGCGTGCCAACCGGTATTGGCGCATACATTTTCTTGTTCGTTGAGTCGTATTTTTCGAACAAAATTTATTGTTCATATCTGAAATTAATAATGTGCAGGAACAAAACCAAACTAAAACGAATAAACAACAGTGACTAATTATTTTAAAACAAATGACATACATGTCTAAAAATGCGTAGTTTATTTCAACAATTCGATATATTAGCATAGATTGATAATCTACATGTTAATCGAATTGATCATTTCTTCTAGTATTAAAATTGATGCAAGTAAACTTCAGTAAATTTCTAAAAAACAAATATAATTATTGGAAAATTATTTCATACAAATTTCTAATTCAAGTTTCTTGATTCTCACCGTTGTAATAAAAAAATTTCATTTTTACAATTGCAAAATATTTCGTTCGTCGAAAAAATCATGATTAATATATCTAAGAAGAATCAACATATCATCATTAATCGATACATAATTATTTAAATAAGCTTGTTCATGCTTATATGAGATAAAGATTTGGCCGTTATCACGTTTGTTATCTTTATGTTCATTCTTTGTTTTTATTGGTTCATATATATGAGGACTGTAAAAAAAGCTTTTTTTATTTTTTTTCTGTTCTGTTATGATTTATGAATATTTTTAATAAAATAATTCAAATATTTGAATTATTTTTCTCTATTAATGATGTCGCTTTAGTTTATTCAAGATCTTGGTGCAAGATAATTACAGTTTAACTTTTTTCCAGTCTTCTGACAGTTTTGATATCTTGAGTAAAGATCTTGATAAGATCTGTGGTACAAGATAATTACAATTTAACTTTTCTTCATGTCTTTTGAAAAGCTTGATATCTTCAGGAAAGATCTTAATAAGATCTGTGTTACAGACATGTAAGATATGATCAAGATATGTTTTCTCAAAAAAAAGAAATTATCTTTTTAAGATCTTGGCAAGATCTTACTTACGAATTCCAAGATTTCCAGATCTTACTTACAAGATGTTCGACTAGGGAGAATTGAAAGAAATAAAGATAGATACTCAATCAACATTAAAATGGTGCCCTAATTTCATATCGAAAGAAGAAGGAGATGTTCTGTTCAATCATTTAATGAAAGGTACTTATATTAATATAGAAAACAAAAAAACATTAAATTTGATTGGTGTTTTATTCATTTTCAGAGTTGAATTTCGAGCACACTGTAATTTCTATGTATGGAAAACCTGTCAAATTGGTAAGTAAACGAGACGCTGCGAAAGATAGTTACTGAAAAATCTGCCGTTTCTACGTTTAAATTGTAGCCTCGTCTTCAGTCGTGGTTTGCAGAAGAGGGATTGGCTGTAAAAGAGCTATTTCAGAAGCAGAAGCAGCATATTTGGACTTCACCAATGCGGAAACTTAAGGCTCAACTTGAGAAGCAATTGGGTAAGCTAGAATAACGAGAAGCAAATAAGATGTTGCTTTTTATAGGTATAGAATTTGATTATTGTTTGGTCAATTTGTACAGAGATGGAAATGACCATATCGGTTTTCATGCTGACAATGAAGCAAAAGACATCATTGCTTCTATGACATTGGGTGCTACACGCAGGTTTATTGTTTTTTCAACTTTATTCAATCAATAAGTGTCATTTTTAGGTTTCTCATGCGACATCTTAGCTGTTTCAAGAAAACTCTTACACGAAATAGAAAAGCTTTAACAATGCCTGAAAAGAAAGAAGTAATTTAATTTTATAAGCCTTCTTTTCTCACTTTTGTTTTAGTACCAGTTTTCCTTGACGAATGGATCACTCCTTGTGATGTTAGGTGGTACACAACTGTATTGGAAGCATTCAGTACCAAAGGAGAGAAACGTGAAATGTCCTCGAATCAATCTCACATTTCGCACCATGCAAAACAAAATAAGAAGAAAAGAAAGTATATGATGATGGTCCATTCATCATCGGTTCGATAATCATCATCACGTTGACTTTTTTTTCTTTTAATATTTGTATAACATTTCTTGATGAAAAATATACAAGCGAATACGAACTAAAAATCCATAGAGAAAAAAACGGATTGATAGAGCGCAGATCTACGGCACTGGTAATTTCTTACGAAATATTATACTCGATTGATGAAAGATACTTATCTACGATAAATATTTACTATCTATTCTTTTTGGTTATATATAAATGAAAACACATATTATATTCCTTTACAAAGCGACAACGATTCTTTTTTTTACAAAATGTTCTACTACGCAGTTTTTACTACATTTAATATTCTTATTGCTGGTTCGAATACTAAACTAATAAGATCATTGACACATAAACCTAAACCATGCTGTTTACCGAAACAACATAGTTCACAAATGATTATATCAACTAGTATGGTATTACCAGATAATAAACTGCATAGTTCATACGTAAGTCGTTTCTATTAGAAATATCTGTATATGAACTATAACTAGTTAAATAAATAGTCAACCTACAATTTTTCGTACGATTCGAATCGTGGATTGATTGCACTGAAAGGTCAAGCAACTTCAATACCAGATGGGTAAAAATCAAATTGGTGGGTTATACAAAGTATGAAAGATGGTCAAACTTATACAATAGATCAAGATTCAAAAATATGTCATAAATCAATAATATCACAAAAACCATTTTATTGTATACCCGGTATTTAAGAATGTGGTTTCACTATTTTCTCCTCTCTTATCAATATTTTGTTTTTTGTTGTGTTATAGAAACAGTAGTATATCAATACTCGTCTATGTATGGATACGGTGATAAACAAATTATTGGTGACACATGGCTTATAATAGAAGACGAAGCGATGAGATATTTTACCGTTAGTGGTGATGGTCTATGCATCCCATTGAACGGAAACAGTTACTCTCAAAATCCTAGTAAGTAATTTTATAATGTATAAATACTGGTTATTATCTTTCTTTGTCATGATTTTAGCTACAGTTAATTCAACGACAATATCAAATTTCGTACCGATAATTCTTGATCCAAGTGCATTCGACATACCGGAACAATGCAAAAATGCTGTTTAGCAGTTTGATCTTTCTCACTAATAAACTGAGACATATTGAAATTTAGTCAAATAAACGATAATCTAATATCTAGCAGTTTCTTTTGTATCTAGACGGAAAGAAACTGTCTTTTCTTGAATACTTCCTATCATAATGAAGACTAATAATATATTCAACATCCATCGATGTTCATAGATTACAATACACCATGGCAATAGGTAGATTGATCATAGTTTCTTCTTTTGCCAAGAATCAATGTAAAAAAATACAGTACAATTTAAAAAATAAAAGTTAGATTTGTTTCGTGCTTTTATTCTATTCTTTTATACCAACGTCGAGCTTTAACATTACCACATGTGAATTCCTAAAATAATAACAATATTAGAGCTAACTAATGACAAGAACTTACAACTTGTTGTTGACCTTCATCATCAATAAATCGTTCAAGATGCACTTTCTTTCCTTGTTTATCAATTGCGTTATGAATCCAACGACCAGTCTCATTGTCATATGTTATTGTTGACTTAAAAAATAAATCTACTAATAATCTGAGGTGCTTATTTCATTATTTTTTAAATCTCATACGAACAGATTCTTTCATAAATTCAGAGTTTCACACTTACTTTTACTTCTGCTCCATCTGCACGTACTTCATCAAATTCAATACCCAATGTGAACTCATACACGGTAGTTTTAAATGTTGATTCGGATTTCACTGTCCATTTCCCATTATCATCTGTACTAATGGTCATTTTTTCTTTCGTTACAGCTTTTGCAGCTTGACGTATTAACCATGAAATACCTATATATTACCAGTGAAACATTTCTCTACATTCACATAATTAGTATACTTCATTGACTTACCCATTTCTCGTAAACATTCATCAAAATTTTCACTATTTACAAAATCCCATGTACCTTTAAATTTTTCCATGCCAGAATCTGTAGAAGCCATTCAGAATTCAAGCTAACACTCTTATTTGCGTATAATGTTTATGCGTTAGATTAACTTCTTTATTCATTTTTTTCTTTTCTAACGTTCTATTGTTTATCACTGATAAGATACATGTGTGCGCAATAACAAGTCTTTCTTTTGCTTGTTGATGATCATAAAAAACTAAACTAAAGATAAGATATTTCATTTTTCTCAACAGATGAAAAAATTACTGATATATATACTCATGTTTTACTTCTAGTTTCAGAAATGCAAAGTCATATTGTTTGACGCGAGTGTAGACGAGAGATTATTATACTTCGTACTAATCTATCAATATTATTTTGAAATGAAACTTTCACAAAGCAGATTTTCCATTTATTCAATAAAATGTGAATCAAACTTCAAGTCTTAAATCAGTTCTGCAATATAATAGGAAAACTTAGAAAGCTAAAAGTCATTGTAACTAATGCAAACAAGATAGTAATGTTGTATTTCAAGATTAATATAATTTGATAGAATTTTTGAGAAGATGCTTTCAATTGTATTAAATTGAAACCCTTTAATAATTAATAATAATAAAAACAAATATGTTGATAGTATAGACTTAACATTTAAATTTTGTTTCATTAAGTCAACTATTCAATTTACATATTTAGATTCTATTTGAAATATTATATAAAATCACTACAAAAAACCTATTAACTACAACTAAATAATCAAAAGTTCAATATATTATGTGGCTATCTTTATTCTATTCTTTTTCTTGATGAGATTTATTTCTCCTATAGATTTTATTGACAGCAATTGGATATGATACAGATGAAATATACAAAAATGACGAACAATATTAATGAAAAACTAAAGACATATTTTCAATTTAATTTTATGAAATATTTTCAAGAATATCTGTTATTAATTCTTTTTTCAAGAAAGACTTAATTATTTAATTTAAGATATGAGTATGAATTTAAGATATGAGTATGAATTTAAAATAGAATGTAGAGAAGTATTACATTACATTGGCATCCATGCCCATATTATCCAATATTTCAAGCAATGCAAACTCTTTGATAGTTCGCTAATTAATAATAATTCTACAGAAAACATTCAGTACTATTCAACAACAAATCTCTTTCGACACCAGACGTATAGAATGGAGAATACAGAAAATTAATTCTTTTTAACTGTGAAGGATGTATAAACGGGTGTGAGCTTCGGTCAATCAAAAATCAACATTCACACTCAGACCAACACCTACAATTTTTTTCTGTCAAAAGGGACAGAAAAAAAATTGGAATAACTGTTCAGAATAAATAAACTTTCAAAGTAGAAATATATATATCGTAAACCATCTGTATAAAACTAAACATTCCCTTGCGTACTTTTTTTTTCTAAATAGTACTTTTTTTGACGTTGAATAAAGAATTATTGTATACGCTATACAGCTGACACACAACACTTATAAAAAGGCACTTTTTTTCTTTTTTCTACCTTCGGAAATAGTCTCTCTTAATGATAGAATCGTTTCCACATACTTACATATTTTTTACAATGAATCAACATCAAAGTAGTCTCTCCATTGTAGTTTGAGTTGTTTCCGAGATAGACAAGTAAACGTGCTGACAAAGCCTATCATATTGTCAATTACCCCACTATCGATTGCATTCGCACACACGAAAATATCTTTAATTTCTTTTGGTTAAAATAGTGTAGCACATAGAAATATTTTTTAACTTTGTTTTGTATTTTTTCATGTTTTTCGTCTAATTGTTCTTTATTCCAAGGTTTTTCATTTTAGAACAAGAATAATGGAGAATTAATTGTAATAGGTTTTTTCGTTAATTGAAGAAGCAGGAGAGAAAATGCCTGTCATTCAGAGAATCAAGGTTTTACTGCGTCTACTGCTTGCATACATTAGGAATTTCAATATATACGTAGAAACAAACGATGCTCTTCCTGGTGCTCGTGAAAGTCAGATCCTTGCTACACGGGTTTATCTTGTGTTGCTTGCACTAGCCATGTCCATATTAACTGGATATACAGCATTGGTCCATCAAACGCTCATCGTCGAAGTGAACAATCCATCAGAAACTCAGTATGAGCGTTTACAAGCACTTTATCCGAATACAATCTCATGTCCATGCTCACAGATTGTTATCGCGGCAGGCACGTTTGTCGACATCAGCGTCAGTTTCCACCAGGTATGTTAACTCAATTCAATTTCCATCGAGATATTTCTCTTCACTCTCAAGATACCGTGAATGTGAATGCTCCTTTCCGTGAGGAAGGTATATCATTACTGCAGTGTTCATCACGATTCCCAGCAGATCCTGAGGTGTTGTTCGAGAATAATAGTGGGAGCTCGATGTTTACTATTTTCCTTTTGGCGATTAGTATTCAAAATATTAAAAAGTATATCGACATTTTTAGGTCTGCTCAAGTGATTTTGTAACTGATACGTGGGTGAATCATCTTTCCTCTAACGATCCTACTTCACTATTTTATCCTCTCGATATACGCAGTTCGGTCTCTTCACAATTCCAACTACTTGCGGCTCTCTGTCATGCTTCGCAAGCAGCCGTTCTCGATGGACTAACATTGTTTGCGACAAGCAATCTGATAACTCCAACTATGCTGTCTCGCTCAACCTTTGATACACAAGTTTCACTTCTTGTGGATGATTCTCGCACCAATCTACTCATTGAACAGCGACGCAAACTTCTCCTCATCCGTGCAGTCAATGAACAAAACCAATTGCCTACTGCAATGAGCACCAACTTTATCTACACTACTGAAGATAACTTTCGTCCGGGTCTCTACTTTATTCAGTAAGAATATCAATATTTTCTTCAATTCTACAGTTTCAGTATATAGAGTATGCTTTTTACTGACTTCTAAATCAGAATGAAACCATTCGGTTATACTGTTGATAGACAATTATTGAATTTCAGAGTTTTGAGCAATTACAAAACTTCTGGATAGAATATACTTCGGGTGATTTGTGTGCATTTTTCTGAAGTCATTCTTTGATTATTTCTCAATACAGGTACCCATTAGTGAACCAAACGAGCTCGTTTTGTTCGTGTCAACTTTCATTCGATTGTGTGTATCCGGCAGGTGTTTACAATAACTTATCTGGTATTAATGCTCTTATGGAATATGGACTTTTGCAATCATCACACGTGCCTGAGTTTACACTTCAAGGCATGTTGGTCGGCTGCTTTCCTCTAAACGTACTACTTCAGTCTACACTTGAGTGTTTATTCAATTCAACTTGTCTGACTCAACTACAGTCCAGTCTACTTAATGGCCTTCCTATAGCAGTGAAGCCCTTAAATGATGACGGAAACTCTCGTTTTCCCATTAATACAACAATTCAAACGATTGTCGACGAGCTCTTGATTGAACACTGGATAAACACCAGCAGCTACTCAGTCTTCTACGAACAATGTCATCCTATCAAGTGCACCTACTCGTATACGCCAAGAGTGAATACAGCGCTTACTATTGCTACGATTATTGCCTTATTCGGTGGTCTTTCCATTGCATTCCGGCTGATTGCACCGCTTCTAGTTAAAATCAGTCGAACTATACGAGTCAAGCTTCAAAAGCAAAGACCAGTCGGTATCAGGCATACAGGAGGAAGAATGCTCGATCGTAAGTTGATTAATGTTTTATATCCTATTTTTATATGGGTATGAAGTTTTTTTTATCATTGAGTGGTACGCGTAGGTTCTGACAACAAAATGAATTTCGCATGGTACACATTGCTGAGAGAGTTTTTCATATCCTCGCTCTATCTGATTCTGTTTGAAACAAATATTATTGCTATTCTAAAAAACTAAAGTCTTGATTGCTTTTTCGAAAGACGTTTATTTATTTTTATCTGCTGATGTGAAAGCTTAGCTGGGATTGAATTGATATTTTTACTAATAATATTTTATTTTGTGACGCTCTCTAGGACCATCGATATTTAAACGTACACAATTGGTTTTAAAGGCCACCGGTCAAAAGATCCTCCAGTTAAATTTCTTCAAGCATCCGAATAATGATGAATATGGCCGATATACAGAAATACTTACCA